ATGGATTTTCTGAACGAAAACCACATCAACTGTTGGAAAAAATGTTCTCGATCGAACAAATTTCTAACATGCTCCTTCGAAAATTTTCGGGAACATTTGTCGCTTTCGTCTGTCGATTGCACCATACTAATTGATATTTGAATGAACGTTCCTGAAAACTACTACTTTCGTGCGAAATTCTAACCATGTAAACCCTACTTTACTGTTCTGACAGGAAGTGAGGGAAAATCTCCCCAATTGGGTCACAGCCGGCAGTAAAAAGTTCAAAAGAAATGAACATAAGGTGCTGGATTCATCTTATCAGGAGGTATATCAGATTACACACAGTGGCTCCAGTCGGGCTGCTCACAACTACAGCAGGTATCCAGAGACGAAGATCTACGTATACAAAGTCTAATGAGAGCACCAGGCAAAAGGTTTGAGTCTAAAATCTTTTAATGTATTCATAACAGTCATCCAACAACATCCAACATGTTTTTTATGACTCAAAGATTCCCCCCACACACTCTTCAGGGCTTGGATGGTATAAGTAAGGGAGGACTCAAAATGGCATTATTTAAAATAAGTTATTTGTTCCTGGTTAATTGTAACTTGGACACAAGTAAGTCAGCAAATGCAGTTTTGTCCTTGGTTAATTGCAACTTTGACATAAATAATGTATCCTGGTATTGTGTCATCACTAAGTCCTCCGAACTACTTACAACATCAAAACCCTAAAGAGGGAGATCTTTCAGCACCCAAAGTGCATTGGCTTTTATTTTTTCATGTCATGAATGAATACAAGTATTAAAAGACTTTGGACTCCTTTTGTCTGGTGCTCTCATTAGATTTTGTATACAGGAATAAAAAGATGACCGACCTTAATCTTCCCTGCTGTGCCCAAAACAAAATGTTTTAGCAGGAGTTAATTGCGCATTTTAAACAGGGCATTTGAAGAAAAGAAAAAAAAAAAACAGGTTACCGCATGTGAAAACACCAGCAGATTCAGTGATCTTGGTAGCAAAATTTATGTTCAGAGCTCTACTTCTACAAAATTTTAGCTTGGCCCTGCCTCCTTTTACCTCCAAAGAATCCTTATAAGTAAAGGACCAGGAAAGCTATCAGCCAAATTTGTACGCTAATTTCAGCTTCCAAGTTGTTTGGCCATCCCCTTTATGGCCGAACGCAATGAATAGTTTAGATTTGCATACAAATGTAGCCACCTGTATTTCTCAATCTACTTGTGGCTTTCACTGAAAATAGCCTCAGTTTATACATGTTTTCAGAGCATAGTTAGTTTTGGTAGACTGAGATTATTACTGTGCAATGTGCCTTTTTGAGTTATTTGGACACTTTTTTATTCTACTCCAACCTTTTACCTGTACAATATATGTCGGTATCAAAAGCCATTGTTTTTTTGCCTTTTAAAGTGACATTAAAGTCAATCTTTTTCCCTCCCCCAATGTTAATGAACCTCTTGCCGTCCGCCCGTTAAGAAAAAAACGGACGGACGGCAGACTCGCATCCGCGGGTTGCCGTCGTCAGACGGCATTTTTTTCCTGCTCGCGCGCGCCCCCTAGCGCGCACGGGCAGGAAAGACCCGCTTGTTACTACAGCCGTTAACTGCTGACTCCTCTGAGCTTGCTGGCACTTCCTGTCCCAAGGTGCCTGAATACAGGTGCACGCGACCATAGGCTTACCTTGTATCTCTCCTGGCGTCCCGGCCGGAAATGTGAACTGCGTATGCGCCTGCCCCAAGATGCTTTGCGGCCGCCCAAAAATTTTCACATTTTCGGACGGGAGCACGCGGGGAAGACACGGGTAAGTATTGACCCTTTTCAAAGCTTTTTTTTTTTTTTACACTCTTTGCATATATCTACTGCTTGCTAGCAGTAGATATATGCAAAAAAACGGAGGGTTTAATAACCCTTTAAGTGTATGTAGTGAATTGCGATCCCGTGGATATGAACGTTTGAAAATGGTTTGAGGGATCATGTAGCTTTTTTTCCCCCATGTATTAAAGATGGCTTTTTAACTGATTGGATGAAGTCTGATATATTGAACATGATACTTTAGGCAAGAATTTTCTATACCTACACTTGGAGCATGTGGATAAGCTGTCAGTCTTCTGTCTCTAAACTGTTTCACACCATTCCAATTTTACTGCTGGCTCTGTCTCTCCTTTAACTTGACTGGCCTAATGCACGATCTAAAACTGGTCACTGTTACAGAATGTCACAAAATGTAATAATGAACTTCTAGTCCAATCAGTGTGATTGTAAATAGTAATTTAAGCTTTAAAAGCAAATGGACAGGACAAAAGATATCTGAAGAATCAGAGACTAAAAGAATTGAAAGCATGACAGTACTTTGCAAATGCCTAATTCACATAAACTTTACCATGTACAGTGCAACTCCTTATGTTTTGTACAGGAAGAATTGTTTCTCTACCTGTGCCTCAAACTTCCACTACAAGCTCATACGTCATATGGCCATCTAAGTAGGAACGTGTAGTTAGTATATGTCTAATAAACACATATTTTGAGTTACTGAAGTTTACCTTCTGGTAATTTTACTATGTGAATTTCTTTTTTAAATGCTTTCTCTTCTATATTTTGTTGCATTAAATAGAAGTTTGCAGACCCATCACTAAAGGGTGTCCTTGTGCTCTATGTGATTCAGCCTCCATTGAACCTTCCTGCTTAGTTGTCGAGAAACCAGCCGCCTAGGGAATGCATTGTTTTTAGTAGGTCAGCGGACTCTGGGCCCATTTACACCAGCAGCTGCGATAAAACGTGTGTTGCCCAGCACAGTGCTGATGCGCCAATCTTAGCACATCACACTGTTGACCTTTTTTATTTGTTTTGCCCATTTAATTCTCTGCCCATCCGTGACAGTGCAATTTGCCTTGTCTTTCATTGGGGCTGCGCTGGGAACGGCCAGCGCAGCCCCAACGCCTGCCTGAGACTGCTGTTCTGCTCCTTCACACAATGCAAATCATTGTGTAGCACTGCAAAGCAGGAACAGAGCCTGAAGAAGAAATTATAAAAAATATTGCTGATCTTTGGTCATATATATAATGCCAACTATACATTAAAATGTAATGCCTCAAGCTGGTCCCATACACACATCAAAAAAAAAAACAATGAGTAGACTACACATTTCCTTTTAAGTGTTAGGAAATGTGTGCCCATTACTTAGTCAGTTTCCACTCTTTACCCATTCCTTTTAGAAAGGGGATGATTTGTTTACAGAAATTTGAGATATAATTATCTTATTCCTCAAATCGACAGTACAGAGTTTTAAAGCCTAACTCCAGACAAAACCTAGATGGATAGCATGGGAAACAGTTAATACCTATGTCAGTGTTTTTTATTTCTGTCTGTGATCCTGTTGGGGAGATGTTTCCTCACCTCTGGTCCCTGTAACATCTATGAGTGGCCTCTCATTTCTAGCTTATCACCAGGGGGTAATGGAACGATCTGCTAAAAATATGCAGCCAAACTGATGGGTTTCTCTCACGATCAGTCAGCTGGCGTTGTCTGGTATTCTAGTTTCTGTGGACATGAGGCTCAGCACTCTATGAATGTCAACCCATGTCTGTGGGTATGTGACACCATGTAACATGTAGAAGTATGTACTTTTGATGTGAAGGCAAGCACAAGCAAGTGTCTCCACATACCTGTCATTTTATCACCTATTTTGAAGAGGCAGGGCAGGTTTACTTTAAACACACTACCACTTCATGACTTACCCATTGACGGCCACATTGTATCCTGGGATTTTAAATTCTGGTCTAAGATTCAGTTTTCAAAAAGGGAGGCTACCAGGGTGTTTTTATGCAGAATGTTAAGCTAATGGAGAAGCAGGGAGGCATCTTTTACAAAACAGGTGTACTTTAAAGCAGGACTCTGGATCAGGGAATTAAATATTCAATCCCTATCCTCCCCCCAGCTCATGCAGAATATAATGCTCATTTAGTCTAGCGGATGATCTAAACAAGATTTACTTGCCTTACTTCACGGTCCCTTGACAGTTGGCAGCCATTCCCTCCACTCTCCAATGCCAGAATGTGGTCGGGCAAACCTACTTAATTCTGTACAATGGAGGAATGGCAGTGGGCACTGGTCCTGCACAGTGCGTGATGAAATTGGTGAGAGGGGTGACAGAGACCTACTGGAGGCTCCCAAGAAGTGCAGCTTCATCACAACTGGAACCTGCTGGAAGGAAGACTGTGGGACCATGGTGTACAGCAAGTAATCATCTTTTTTTATCACCGCCTAAACAAAATGAACATTGTATTTTTCAGCTTGAGGGCCCAATTTTCATTGTTTGAGCTCTTGCCCAGGAGTATGCTTTAAGTTTAAGGTTACAAAATGAGCAAGGAACTTCAGTTTTCCCTGATAATTGCTTAAGCTAGGGATTTGGGGCCCACATATTGTTCAGTCTGTCCAATTTAATGTTGATGCACAGTTCTCCTTTACTGTGAACTGCAGACAAATGAAGGGGAAATAAACATGATATTAGATTCCATTTAAATCTCAATTTGGTTGTGTGTGAATATATGTGTACTTGCTATAAGATCCATGTTTGTGTCTACAGTGTTTGCATAACTTGTGTTGTGTATGAGCATCTGATTTCTTTGTTCAGGCGCAAATGCAATGCACTTGATATTAGCAGTTATGTACATTTAAATTTTGTTTGTGCTGGTTGAAATAGCATGTTTAATGTGTTACCACATCCTTTAACCTAAAACATATATGTAGGTCTGTGCTTATGTAGAACATTTGTAAAGTCCTGGCTACTTGACTGAAAGCTCTTAAGTCATTTTCATTACTGTCATCTCCTCGCCTGTAAAGTTTATCAGTAAATGGGGCTGCTTTCTTTTTTTAGGCTGGCATTCCTACTGATATGCATGCAAGAGAAGCTGCAGTCACTCAAATTCATGTGCAAGATGTTTTACTTCTATGTATGGGTGTAACGGAACAAAAACTTTTTGTGTTTTTTTTCTCCTTTTCTAGGCGAGCTTATACAGAGGCGGTTACAGCCGATTTGCTCCGTACTGAAGTGACGTAAACAATTATTTCCTATAAAATCTGGACAAAACTGCCCGTCTCCCCATTTGCTGTTTCCCTTTCTCTCAACTTTCAAAGTTCACGAGGCCCGGCTTTTGCAATACTTACAATGAAAATATCCTCTAGGAATTTTCAGGCAGCGTAAGATGGATGAAATCAACTGAAATTATTGAAAACAAACACAAAAGACATTTTTTATACCTCAGCTTACTTTTGAAATCTGTATTTTTTATTTCTGCATTTAGGATTTTTTTTGTGTTCATTTTGTTCCAAAGATTGTTACTTTTTATTTTGTAACTGTGTTAAAAAATGCGTGTATATATGTGTGTGTGCGTGTGAGTGTGTATGTGTGTGTGTGTATTATATATTCATACACATACATATGTATGTACATTTATTATTTACATAATTATGTGCTGTGAGCTTTTTTTTATCATTATTTTCTATACTTTGAAGGACATTCGCTGAAAGTGGGGTGATCCAAAAGGGGGAGGGGGGGGCATTCAGGAAATGCAAGAATTAAGTCTAATATTTTTTAACTAAAAGTTTTTATCTAGAAGCTTCTGGCATAGTGAAGAATGATTGGAACAAGCTGTTGGGCCATTTTGGTAATCGTATTAAAGCGAACCTGTGGTCCTAATGAAGTAAAACCTAAAATAGGTACCCATCATGCTATTGGGGAACAAATGATTACTTGTCCCTTTTAATTCTGATAGTCTTGAAGCAGTTTGGCTCCCATTCACATGAGCTGTGCTAAGGCATAAGTCACAAATTATCTGCTATTGCAGGTGATTGACATAAAACAGTGTTCAGGCAGAGTTGCCCACCCTTTAGTTAGACTATTGCTAGACTGAGCAGCTTTTGATTTGACAGTTGCTGATATCACCCGTCATCAGTGGGTAAGCATCTAGTAGAAGTTGAGATTTAATAAGAAGATGATGTTGGCCCCTGGTGACATATAATGGCACAGGCAAGAAACAGGGTCTACACAGGAGGCAAAGTATAAGGGATCAGAACACCTCATCAGAGTTTAGGTTACCTGCTATAACTATGTTAATATTTACTATAAATATATATTTAACCATTTTTAATTCCTCTTTAAAATGGCACTAGGTCAGCTTTAAAATGTAAAACGTATACACATGGAATTGGCATGTTATCCTGTAATGCTTGGGATTCCATGCCATTATCCCAGCTGTTGAATCCGTAAGAGAGAATGGGGATAATTCTCTCTGAAGCCAGGAGACCAGATTGTTGCAGGAGAAACCTAATATAAACATGAAAACAGGTTCTAATTACATACAAGTAAAGTAATGTGTCCTATACATATTATCATATATATATATGTGTGTGTGTGTGTGTGTGTGTATATACAGTATAAAGCATGGTTCTTCATAGAACAAAGGAAAGGTGATCACAGTTGTATGTTTCAGTACTTTCAGCTAGTATATTTTTATTTTGTCTCCAAGCCAAAATAATATATGCAGAATAAAACATTAAGCATGCTTGCCATTGCTGAAACTTGATCTAAATATGACTGCATTTGAGGCATGTTCTATTTCTGTATCCTTATTGTTCTGTTTTAGGATTATTATAAACAGTCACTAGAATTCTAGGACTGTATTCTCACCATCTATACTTTGTATATTGTCATCCTCCTTTTGTGCTGGTCACTATGTCCGTCCTAGAGAAAGGACCTGACCTCATATTGGCAGCTGGCAAAGTAATAAGCTGCGTGATAAGGTATTGTATATTTAGTCAGTCATTAACCTACATATACAAAATCATACTTTAGTGTGCATATTGGGCTATTTACTGTGTAAGTTGCTAAACTCCTTCAAAGCCAAGAGGGAAAAGGCAACATGTATTCTGAGGAGCTGTAAAAACTTCCACTAACTTCTAGTGCTGAAAAAAAATTTAATTCCTTGAAATTTAAGGGATTACTAGAGCAACTATGTCCCTGTGAAAGGGAAAAAAATGAATTCTTCTGGGAGGGGCATCCTAATGTTCCTCTGGACAATATTGCAGCTATTCATTAATCAGTCAGGTAAAATTTGAAACTTTCCACAATAGTGGATTGTCATTGTCTTCCTATAAATACTATAAATTGTGATGTACATTATAATTTGCTACTTTGAGGTAATCGTGACACCATTTTGCAGTGGAGCCAATGTCTTTCCATTGTGCACTGCATTTTATTGTATTAATAATCAGTGGAGTGTGCTGTATGCCTGCAGAATGTTCCATTGCACACTGTATTATAGATCGATCATAATTCTAGTATCCATGCATCCCAGTTTTCTTAAGACAGTCCCATTTGCTGGAAATCTTTTCATTTACAATGTGTATTTGTCCATGAATCATACATTAGATACAGCCAGTTTGGAATCGGTTAGTACATTTTTGTTTGGTCATGTAGCACCCCAAGGAAATAAGGGTGTGTCAAATTTTAGAATAAGCAATTTCACATTCTAGTAGTGCTTTTTTGTTTCTATGGATGACCATTACCAGCCCAATTTTGACATGCTATAATAAAGTTTTAAGCATCACTTGCTTCAATTGGCTACTAATGACTTGCCTAGGGAGCGATAACAGGTGTTTGGAGGCATTTGTTGTCACATTCAGAAATTTTCCAACTTTTTGGAAAATTTCTGCGTGAACAGGGCTCATTCTTCACTTGTGTGTGCGTGTGTGTGTGTGAAGAACAGCAAAGGCTCAAACTACCCTGTGTGAACTGCTGTCATTATCATAGCAGGTCCATGTGCTCTGCTGACCTTGGTTAATTGCCGGCAGATATCCTCCCACCTGCTGTTCTCAGGGAGATATTTGCCCATCTATGAGCAGCTTAAGTTACGGGAGACCTATGCATAATATATTTAATATGATATAGTGGAATAGTGGTTAATTGTTTTTACTTCAATTTCTTTTGTTTACACAGTGCATATTATTCTAGATAAGAATTTGTGGAGAATTAAATCTGTTAGGATAATATTTGCACACCTACTATTTAATACGAATTATATAGGGATATATTTATTACAGTAGAACCATGTAGTAGCACAGATGGACAGCGAAACACCGTCTCCTTTCATAGTACCCCTTTACTATTACACGCGGTTTGTGTTGGCATGCCTAAACCAAATTTCAGTATACCTGTACAAAGAAAATGGAGCACTTTTTGCGGCCCTTTTTACCAATAACGCATGGATACATTTATCTACACCCATATGAGCACAGATTTTCTCACAAGACTTATAATTTTGCCTAAAACACTTTTATTTAAATAGGTACGTTTATAATATGCAACTTGTTTTAGCCATTTTTTTATGTACAGTGCAGTTGGTTCCATGTTTGTATTAAAGCTCCAATGTAATCTAGTGTACCATACTGTAAATACATAGCTCCTCCCCAATGCAGTCACTTGCTTAATATACTTACATCAGTCCACCATGCCAAAGTCATTTGCAGTTTTTCTTTTATACCCTTTGCTTAACATAAATTCTTCTCCTGTCTTTGCTTTACTGTTATATTTACCTTCTGAAATTTAGGTTCACATAATGATTAAAGGGAAACTGTCATTCAAATGTTTGTCATGTACCTTTCAATGTATAGCTGTTTCATGTAGTGCAACATTGCATTAAATTAAATAATTTTTTAAGCTTTATTGATGCTTACTTGTTTGGTGTATGGGCTATTTGTAAAGGCTAAAGTTTAAATTGCAGCTTCAAAACCATTTTTGCATGTTAAAATACACAGTTAACTTGCCTTTCATCTCCTTTCTTGTGAATGTTCTCAACGGAGAAACGCTGATCGCTGAATTGTTAGCAATATCGGCTAGTTAGAAATATCTTTGCTTTTTTATTCTTCAAAATGAAAACATTTCATAGATTGCAATGGCTGCTAAAATTGTGAAAATTACACAATACCCATGCAGTTTTAGATGTTGATGTCCTATCCTATATATATTAAAGCTGATCTTCTTCCAGTGTTTCATGTGAGTTCTTAGTGCAGTGCCAAGAACTGAGTGATAAGTCCTGACTAGCAGCTTACAGCACATGATTTACAGCCTTGTCTGGCTGCTTACAGGGCAGGTAAGTTTCAATCCTTCCCCGTGTGTTAAAAATAGTAGCTTTACAATTACTGTTGGATAATTCAGCCAACAGGAATGAATGCAGAAGGAAAGCACATGTCTCCTGTCAAATCCAACCTCTTACAGTTTTTAGAGACTTTATTTTTGTTATCCCAACCACACATTGTCTCATACCCTTCTCTCCTTTCACATACTGCCTGCTATTTATATGGTCCACAATCCTCTTACACATACTGCCCACCATCAAGCCCGCCACACCTCCTATACATACTACCTGCTATCATGCCATCTGGCATTTTCTTTTCTTGCAGGTAATGTCCACTGGTATACCTTTCTCCACTCCTCTCATGCTTATACTACTTGCTGTCATACCCTCTGCCCAATTAACCCTCTACAATCTCCTAATTGTACCTGCCATCATACCCTCTAGCACTCTTCTGCACATGCAGCCTGCTGTTATGCCCTCCAGCTATCCTTTCCTGCATATACTACCCACTGTCTAACAATCTGCAGCCTTCCCCTGCACATAGAAAACTTGCATTTCACTACTAAATTGTACACATTTTACTTGCATTGTCACTTCTGTAAATAAAAAGGTTCAGTGTTTGTAATATCCTTGTACTGACCTTGCCCATTCTGGAATGGGCAAACATTTGCTAATCTGTTTAAAGGACACCATACTAAAATGTCCTTGTATGTACCTTTTAAAGCACTGTTTTCATTTGGTTGATTTTTTTTTATTTTGTTTTTTAATCAAAAACAATTTATTGAAGGCTACAAGACATGTTGCAAAGTTACATTCTAATAAAAGCAACAAAAAAGAAGCTACATAAGATGATATTGGCACACAGTCATGTAAAACAATAACAAAGGAATTGCCCCGCAGTGGCCAGCCAGCTGTTTGGAGTCTGGGAAAGAAGGACACTAAAAGGACAGCTCTAGTGAAGATTAAAGTTGGACTAGGGGGGGTTTGTAAAGTGTCCCAACAGTGTACCAAGAAGTCAAAGCTAAACTTTGTACAATCTTTTGCATAGTTAAAGTTTAAGAAGTGTCAATAAATTACTCCCATACTTCAAAAAAATGTGTCTGTGTCTCCTTCTACACCGTGTTGTTTTGGTCCAATCTATTTGAAAAGGGAATATATCTGCTTATGCAAGTGAAGGTTAAGTGAAGTTGGTTCAG